CTGCTGAAGGAGCTATTTGTGAAACTGCAACATGTCCCCAACCCTCCCACCACCAGGGTGCCCAGAAAACACACTGTTTACCAGACACTCTCTGTTGCTTGCACTAGATATTAAAAAGTCCAAATAAGTGGTCACACTAAGCAAAATAGGACAGTACTTGCCATGCTAAAACATAGTACTATTGGCTTTATGCTATCAAAGGCAGGAAGAGCAGATTTGAAGTCTAAAATTTAAAAAAATCAACACAAAAGTCTTTGTTTTCTGGGTGTCTGTCCCCATCGTCTAACAGTTTTTAATCCTATTCAGGTTCCATACTACTTTCAACTGTGAAATCCCTAATTGTCACCCATATGATTTTATGGAAGTCTTTACGTGACACAAGCACCCATAAATACAGTCAGATGATACATTCTCTCAATTTCATCCCATTTCAAATAATTTATTTGTTTATGAAGGGGTTAGTTTCAGCTCCTCAGTGAGCTGACATGACCCACCACACAGTAACACTAACACCAACAAAAGGGAGGAAGCAAGAACATTCACAAGTAGAGAGTAAGAAGACAAAAGTGCCTTTTTAGGCAGAAGCATGGTCTTAAATGCCCATATGAGTGTGCAATTTACCCTTTGTATTCCACTAAGGGTGTATACCCACTCAGTCTTATGGCTCACTTTCATCATCCCCACTATCCAAATCCAAATTACTCTAATCTATTGTGTTGTTCTGATTTTGGCTTCTGACCACCCAGGACTTCACTAGCAACTGATGCAACTGTGTACCAGCCTAAAAATCAACCAATAAAAAAATTCTTAATTTAATCCTTCCACAAAATTAAAAATTCAATTTCAGTCTGGTCAAAACTGTATGTCAAACAATGCTTCATTTCATTTTTAGAAACCCGCAGGTCAAACATGATTCCATATACACTTCTTAACTGTTCATCAACAGCAAATTAATTAATTTTGTATTGTATTAAAAAAAATAATGAAATTAACATTATGCTTTCACAGTCATCTTCTCCAAGAGTGTAAGGAATTGAGTAGATTAAGAGAGGCCTCTCAACATTAATCCGGAGATTGCATCCAGGAGGATGCAATCTAGTATACTGATATTCTCCTTTTGTCTGGGTCAGATGTGACTTCCATCATTCAATTAGTTACTTATTCCACCTATACCGAGGACACATGATACATTATAATGTATAATAGCCTCTGCAAGGAGATACTTTCCACCAGCCTCAATTTCAGTGTCATTTCTGGATCCACAGTAAACATTTCTCAAGAGCCTGACACTCTACCACTACAAGCTCCACCTTCCCATGATCCAAATGACAGGCCTGTCATGGCAGAGTATACTGCTTGTTACTTCAGGTATTAAAAAAAGAATGCAGTAGCATTGGCACGGTTTACATTAAATATTATGTCTCAGTAGTTCAGAGACATGCCATTCATCTCACCCTAACCTTCTACCAAACTGGGTCGCTTTGTTAGACTTTAGAATATCCAAAATCTGCATCATTCTCAGTTCATGTTTAGAACCACATAACAGGTCTACAGAGCATAAATTTATCTAAGGCTTAATAACTTTACCGCATGTGGATAGATCAATGAATTAGGACTGTAACAAGGTAAAATGAAAGGCAAAGGCAAAATAAAAAACTGTGCACCAAACCGGAAGAAAGGTGCAATGTGATATTCCTATTACTTAATGCAATAAGACTCATTTGCCCTAAAGATGCTATTAAGTGACCGTTTACAACCTGGGTGTCAAAGAAAGCAATCAATAGAATTGTTTGTGCCTAGAATGTAATTTGTGAAACCAAACTGCTGTTAGGACATCCTTCTTTTTCTATTATTACTTGCTAGCAATTAATCAAAAGCACATTATTCTACCCTTTATCCAGTAAACCCTTTACCTACCCAATATATTTTAATTTGGGTTAATGGGGAGATGAAGGTGTAGTTTGCTTGTTTGAGACAGGTGGCTTTGATTTTCAGCGGATTTATACTTTAAGCAGTTTATAACATAAACATTCACCTGTTAATCTGAATAATAAAATCCAGCTCAGGGCAAATATGTAAACATTAATTCAAAATCTATGCCTAGATCTTTAAAACAATTATTTAACTGCATCAAGACATTTAAGTAGGAAAAACAAACTCCTACACGGTATTTACCCAAATTATTCACTGCCATTCATCTTTAAATGCCATATATATTAAGGATCTATCTGCAAATGAAGAACTACGATACCGAAACCGGGTACTTTATTCACAAACAAATTACATTTTCTAATGTGTAAAATAAGGAAATGCTTTATAAAATTAAGATATACATTCCTCATTTGACAGCAAATTTTAAAAGAAATTTTAAAAAAACGCATTGAGCCCTGTCACTCCAAGCTCTGCCTTCCTCATCCTCCTTCTATCTCTGGTTCAACTCATTAATAAATTTGTGTTACAATGCTGCCTTTTCTATTTAAAAGAAAACCAAACCAAACCAAAGCACTCTCAACTATTTCCCAGCTGTACCACAAATACTGCTCAGTTCTCATATACACAACAACTGACCTATAAACCTGATCTATTCTAGTGTATCTGCTTGGGCCTCCACATAACAATTCAGCATCGAAGACTTGTTACTCACCTATCACATTCAATTACCCCAAATATCCTTAAAACACTGTAAATAATAAGATCTGAATACAATCAAGTCTCTATTATCTTATGTAAGGAGAGCATGAAAGTACCCTGGGGTAGAGAGAAATCCCAAACAGTAACAATGCTACACAACACGCCACCAAAGGTACACCAAATGTGCTCAAATAGATGAAGTAGCTTGGGTCTACCAACTCTTTTAAACCCCACTCCAGCATCTTCCAAGAGGTGGCATGTGCAGACCTAATCAGGCAGTTGCAGGCTTAGTGCTACAACTTTTCAGAGGGTGTAACAGTTAAGGTCCATCAGTGTGTCTATACTAAAATGCCTTCCTGAAGCCCAAAGGAATGGAGAACATGATACAAACATTTGTATGTTTGTATCATGCATGGGCATCACGGGCATGGCCCGTGCTAAAGCAAAGTCAGTAAGATTCACATGCCCAACCTCAGTACAGCGCATTTTCTCTGACGCACAACCGTAGTCCCAGGAACACAACAGAGGAATATTGAACTGACCCTGCACCAATCTGGCTCCCTCTCAAGTCCTGACTCTTGACGGCAACCTGGAAAAATGCCTTGCTGATAGTAAGGACAGGGGCTCTACGTTAATTTCAAGATTTATGTAAAACTGTTTTCCAGAGCAGAAATATTCAAAAAAGAAAATAGATCAAGCTTTGCAATTCACACTAAGATTCCAGGAAAGTGCTGAGATTCCTAAAGCTTAGACTAATAGTGATTTATTTGCAAAGATATTTGAAGAGTAATTTGTTATAACCTGTCCCTTAATCTCTCATTTGACTGCATTAAATGAGGAAAGCATCACTTTCAGGTTATTAAAGGTTGCAGTTTTCAGCTAACAAAGAAGTCAGAAATATTTTGACAAAAATGCTTTAAAGCTACTCTCCTTGTTTTGAAGAATCAATGGTATTCAGAAAGGTGGTGTACTGTAAGAACACACATTAATCACCCATGAAAACAGCCTCATCCATCAGTATATGGACTTTTTGCTATCTTTTGCTCCATTAGCTGAAGGAGGATAGCTGAGTATTTCACTGAACAGAGAATAAAACAACAGAAATGACACCAAGAACTGTAATTTACAGTATGATGAAAAAATGCATTCAAAATGCACCAGAAGCAAGAATCTGATATGCAATAGTTGTTAGATTATGCCATGATGTTTAGAACCACCATCTGATAATTCAGCATGATGCATTTGGATCGTCTTTTATGATACAGCTATGGTTTGGCATTTTAAAAGCCTAGGCTCCAACGGCAGCTAATGAAGTAGAGTCTTAACCTGAGTCGTTGCAGTACAGGCAATGCAGGGAAGAAATCTGGGATGAGCAGCAGACTAACAGTTGGATGAAGGTCTGACACCACACAAAGAAAAGATTTTGCGTGAGTCTTTAGCACCATTTTGTCAAGACAAGAAGCAGGTTACAACTGCTTGAGGTTCATGTTGCTGATGGAAGAGTGATTTGAAAGACAGCCTCCAAAGGGCGACAGAACAAACTGAGATTTAAGGATACTTAAGGAATGGAACAGGTTGTCCACGTAAGTTGTGGAACCTCCACCCATGGAGGCTTTCAAGACCTGAGGGGACAGAGCTCCAAGTAACATGGTTTGGATCGAGCGCTGACCCTGCTTTTAGCATGAGGGTGGACTTGACGACATGCTACTATCCCTTCCACCCTGAATCAGTCTATGATCCCAGAGGTTAAATGGAACCTATAAAACAGGGTTCAGCAATTTACAAAGTGGTGACCAAAAGGCAACAGAGCAAGAAGTGCATACGGTTGGAAGC